TTTAATCAGAAAACTGAGAAGCAGAGAGTTCTGCTCATTGGGATGGGATATACAGTTGAAACAAATGTCATCTTTCAAATACAATAGTTTACATCTCAACTAAGAGTCCAAGGTGTGTGTTTTTAATCGGCGGATGACTTTGCTTCATTGCTGATTCAGAGGCCTGAGATCCTTCCATGTTCTGGCTCAACCATCACCTAGGGTTTCACTGTCAACTGCATGCTGCAGGCAAAGAAGGAAAAGGAGAATGGAGGAAAGTGCTGATTTCCTACAGCTGCTGTAGTAAACTACCAGAAACTTAGTGGCTTAAACAAACACAAATTTTATGTCTTACAATTCTGGAGGCAGAGTTCCAAAATCAGTATTAATGGGCTAAAATCAAAGGGTTGGCAGGGCTGCATTCTTTCTGGAAGCTTTAAGGGAGAATACATTTTCTTTCATTTTTCCAGCTTCTAGTGGTTACCCACACTCCTTGGCTCATGGCTGCTGTCTATGTGTAATGCCAACAATGGCTGGTTGTGTCCTTCTCACAACACGTCGCTGAGACTGACTCTTCTGCCACCCTCTTCCTATAATTACACTGGGCCTAGATGTCATCTAGGTTACCCAAGACAATCTTAAGTCAAATGATTAACAATTTAATCCACCCTTACTATTTTTAATATATTTTATTGATTATGCCATTACAGTTGTTCTATTTCCCCTTCATTCCCCTCCACCCTGCACACCCTTCCCCCACCATCCCCTTCCCTTTAGTTTATGACGTTTCTCAAGTTCTTTAGATTCTGTATTTCCTGTACTATTCTTGCCCTCCCCCTATCTATTTTCTACCTACCATCTATGCTACTTATTCTCTGTACTTTCTCCCCCCTTCTCCTCCTCCCACTCCCCTGTTGCTAACCCTCCATGGGATCTTCATTTCTATGGTTCTGCTCCTGATTTACCTGTTTTCTTAGTTTGCTCTTGTTTTAGGTGTGGTTGTTAATAACTGTGAGTTTGCTGTCCTTTCACTGTTCATCTTTTTTATCCTTTCATAGGTAAGTCCCTTTAACATTTCATATAATAAAGGCTTGGTGATGATGAACTCTTTGAATTTGATCTTATCTGAGAAGCACTTCATCTGCCTTTCCATTCTAAACGAAAGCTTTGCTGGATAGATCAATCTTGGATGTAGGTCTTTGGATTTCATGACTTGGAATACCTCTTTCCAGCCCCTTCTTGCCTGTAAGGTCTCTTTTGAGAAATCCACTGACAGTCTGATGGGAACTGCTTTGTAAGAGATAAGGGGACTGTCCCCTTATCTCTTACTGCTTCTAGGATTCTCTCCATTTTAATCTTGGCTAATATAATAATGATGTGCCTTGGTGTGTTCCTCCTTGGGTCCAAATTCTTTGGGACTCTGTGAGCTTCCTGGATTTCCTGGAAGTCTATTTCCTTTGCCAGATTGGGGAAGTTCTCCTTTATTATTTGTTCAAATAAGTTTTCCACTTGTGGCTGTTCCTCTTCGCCTTCTGGTGCCCCTATAGTTCGCATGTTGGAATGTTTAAAGATGTCCTGAAGGTTCCTAAGCCTCTCATTTTTTTGAATTCTTGGTTCTTCATTCTTTTCTGTTTGGTCATTTTTTCCCTTCGTCTGGTCCACTCCTTTGAGTCCCAGTTTCCTTTCCATTACTATTGGTTTCCTGTGTATTTCCATTCATTTCAATTAGTTTAGCCTTCATATGGTCCTCTAATTTGTGACTAAAATCAACCAGTTCTGTGAGCATCCTGATCACCAGTGTTTTCAACTGTGCATCTGAAAGTTTGGATATTTCTTCATCACTTGGACTTATTGGCTCTGGGGCTCTGAGTTGTTCTTGAGCCATGTTTTGATCTGTTCGTGCCTGTTATGTATGAGTGGAGCCTTATTTGTTCACCAGGGCGGAGCTACCCAGGTTGCTGGTTCGTGATGCTGTATGTGGGGGCGGAAGTCCCCCCTTACTATTTAATATCACAGCCTTCAGAGAATAGAATCTTTGGTGCAGGGGGTGGGGGCAGGTGGCATTATTCAGCCTCCTACAAGAGTGCTCTGCTTAAAATCTTGGCTTTGAAGTGGTCAACATGACTTCTAATCGTATTCCAGGATGAGGCAATAGTCTAGCTGGAAGAGGGCTGATACGATTCTTAGGTGGGAATCATATTCCAGTACTACACTGGGTTCTGTGAAAAGGAAAACTGGATTTTGACACTTAACTCTCTACCACACAAAAGTTAAATTCCTAGAAGAAAATATAGGGGGGAAACTTTAGGACATTGGATTGGGCAGTGATTAGCTTTGACACCAAAACACAGGCAACAAAATAAAACATAGCATGAAACTTTAAAACTTCCCGCCACACACACACATGCACACACACATACACAATCATCCTTGTGCTAGAGCAGCCTATGCTTTCTAGAATATATGAGGAACTCCCACAAGTCAATGACAGAAAGTCCATTTTAAAAATGGGCACACAATTTGAATATACCATTTCTCCACATGAGATATACAAATAGCCAAAAAACACATGACAAAGAAGCTTGACATCACTAGTCACTAGAGAAATGCAATTAAAACCACAATGATGTATCATTTCACACCCACCAGCATGGTCACTATCAAAAGTACAGAAAGTAACTGTTGGCAAGGATGTGAAGTGTAAATTCTATGCATTGTTGTAAAATGGCATAGCCATTAAGAAAAATAGTACTGGGCCCTGGCTGGTGTAGCTCAGTGGATTAAGTGCCAGCCTGTGAACCAAAGGGTCGCCAATTCGATTCCCAGTCAGGGCACATGCCTGGGTTGCAGGCCAGGTCCCCAGTAGGGGGCGCATGAGAGGCAACCATACACTGATGTTTCTCTTCCTCTCCCCTTCCCTTCTATCTAAAAATAAATAAATAAAATATTTTTTAAAAACCCGAAAAACAGTATTGGGATTATACCCTAAGAATCCTGAAACACCAATTCAAAAGAACCTATGCACCCCAAGGTTCACAGCAGCACAATTTACAATAGCGAAGTGCTGGAAGCAACCTAAAGTGTCCATCAGTGAGTGGATCAAAAAACTATGGTACGTTTATGCAATGGAATACGATGCAGCAGAGAGAAAGGAGCTTATACCCTTCATGACAGCATGGATGGAACTGGAGAGCATTATGCTAAGTGAAGTAAGCTAGGCAGTGAAAGACAAATACCATATGATCTCACCTAAAAGTGGAACCTAATCAACAAAACAAACAAGTAAGCAAAATATACGGTAACAGAGACATTGAAATAAGGAACTGATAGTAACCAGAGGAGAGGAGGGCGCGGATAATGGGACGGGAAGGGGAAGGTCATCAAGGAACATGTGTAAAGGGACACATGGACAAAGCCAAAGGAGGGTAGAACTAAGGGTCGGAGTTAGGAATGGGTGGGGCAGGGGGGAGAGATAGTGAGGAATATGGAGACAACTGTACTTAAACAACAATTTAAAAAAACAAATGGATTTAAAACAAATTAAAAAAAGAAAGAAAAACAGTATAGCGGTTCCTCAAAAAATTAAAAATAGAATTACTATATGACCCAGCAGTCCCACTTCTGGGTATACATCTAAAGGAATTGAAAGCAGGATCTCAGAGAGACAGTTGCACAGCCGTGCCCACTGCAGCATTGCATAAAATAGCCAAGATGCTGAAGCATTCCAAATGCCCAGGGATTAGTGAATAAAGAAAGTGTGGTACATACATACAATGGAATTATCATGCAGCCTTAAAACAGAAGGAAATCCCATTACATGCTACAACATGGATGAAACTAGAGGACAATATGCTAAGAAGGAAGCTAGTCAGAAAAGGACAGTAAGATTCCACCATATGAAATATCTAAAGTACTCAAAATCATAGAAACAGAAAGCAGAAAGGTAGTTACCAAGGGCTGGTGTAGAGGGAAGGGCAAGGGGGAATTAGTGTTTAATGGGTACTGAGTTTCAGTGCTGCATGATGAATAAGTTCTACGCATCTGTTGTACAACAATGTGAATATACTTAGTACTACTGTCCTGTACTTTATAGGATTAAGATGATAAATATTATGTTTTTACCATAACTTTAAAAAAACATATGGAAAAATAATAAACAAACAGCACAGTTAACAAGCTTCATATAATAGTTCCCTCATTTTAATTTTCTATAAAGAGTCTGTGTTAAATTAAATGACTTGTTTTTTGCTTTTGGTATGTCTCAGATATGCCCATAAAACATTTGGTCCTAGATTTTAAAATACTAAATCAATTTATTTAGTTATAAAACTCTGTAGTTGTAAGATTTTGGAGTTATTTTTTGGTAATTTTTATTTTAGTAACTTCAAATGTATTGACAGTTTCATAATATCCATTTCCAATTTAATATTCATTATTCATTTTTATATTACTTGCCCCCTCTCTCCCTTTGTTTGATTTTGCCAGAGGTTAATCTATTTTAGTCTTTTCAGAGTCCATTTTTGCCTTGACCCTCTTACCACACGTTTGTCTTACTTTTATTATTGCTGCTGTTATATTTCCCTCCTTCAACTTTGACTGTTGTGCTTGTTAAATTAAATGCACAGCTCAGTAATACTAGTCTTGTTTTTTTTTTCCTAACAGAAGCAATATAGGCTATAAAATTTCCTCTAAATGTTTTAGCTACCTTCCTCAAAAGGAAGTTTTGGTATACAGTTTCATTAAATTTTCTTCTAAATATTTTCTAATTTCCATTTCTTGCAACCCATAAATTGAAGTTTTTTTAAATTTCCAAGTGTATGTTTTTCAAACACATATTAAATGACTTAGACTTCTAATTATATGATAGCAGATGTGATCTGTAAAAATGATCAATCCTTTGATTTTCTTGAGGGTAGGTTTGAGGCTTAGCATATGCTCAAGTTCATTAATGTTCCATATAACTTGAAAGTAAATTTTAAAACTGTGGAACACAAAGTTGTAGATATAGTAATTAGAACTCACCGTGTTGTTCAAATCTTATGTATCTTATCTACTTACCTAATGTAGGTGTACTACATTTTTCCAACTATTATGGTAGATGTTGTAGCTCTGTGGTCTGTGTAATTTTATCTATTTCTATTCATATATTTTGAAGTAACAGAGAAACTAGTTTAGAAATGTAAAATTGTCATGACCAACTTTATCTCAACACTGCTTTTTACAACAGATCATCTGACACTAAATACAAAGTTCTAGGTGGTAAGGCTTTCTCCTGTTCCACGAATTTATTTTCTACTTTATCATCAGAGAAGTTGCTTATATTATTTCTACTTTTAGGACTTATTTTCATTTATGAACATTCCTTGAGCACCGGAAAACCACTTTTAGCCTATATAACTTGATATATCATCAATTATGTCTTATTAATTACAGCATTTGTATCTCCCATGTATTTATCTTTTGTGCACTTGAGCTGCCATGGGTTAGAAAGCATGAATCAGTTTCCTTGTACTAATTATTCCTTATTATTTCATGTCATTCCTGAAGACTTTTCTTAATGACTTTGAATACTATGCCACTTGATGCATAGATATTCCTGTCAGATCTTCACTAAGGACTGCCTTCTTGAACACTACAACATGCCTTTTTCTGTAATGTGTTGAACCTTTTCCAACATAAAAATTATAACTTATTTTTTAATTCCAATATGCCTTTCTGTATTCTTTTATTTCAACATTGCTGAGTAACCTTATTGTTTTATGTTAGCATTCTGTTTTTACTGCTTTTTAAAATGTTTCATTAAATGATCTGTGATTTCCATATCTTATTTAATGATTATTCATTCCGGTAATTAAGAAAGTTTCCATTTTTAAAAAAGATTTTACTTACTTATTTTTTAGAGAGAGCAGAAGGGTGGGAGAAAGAGAGGAAAAGAAACATCAGTGTGTTCTTGCCTCTTGCATGCCCCCTACTGGGGTCCTGGCCTGCAACCCAGGCACATGCCCTGACTAGGAATCGAATTGGCAACCCTTTGGTTTGAAGGTGGCACTCAATGCACTAAGCCACACCAGCCAGGGCATGTATTTTAAAAATCTTATCTAAGCCTGGGTTCCTCAAAAAGTAGAGCCTGAAACGACACATATTACTACTTTTCAGTCAGGCAATGTCAAAAAGTAAGAAAGAAGCAAGGCAAATCAGGCAAGGACTAAAGGAATGTCAATACAAGACAGTATTATCAAGTTAGCTGCTAGATTTCAAACCTCTTGATTGCTCAACCCTGAAAGAGGACAAATGGGATAACATTCCCATTTTACAAATGAGGACACTGAGACACACAAAAATGGAATAAGTTGCCCAAAGTCACACGCCTAACAAGTGGCAGTGCTGAGATTTAGGAGTATTCATTCTTTCCACCAACAGCATTATTTTTTGATTCTGCCACTGGTTCCTTTCTTCACCTTTCTTAAGTACCTATTCTCTGTGTCTGGCAAGATGTTAGGAAAATAGATAAACATCTCCATGCTAACAGATAATTTTAATAAGCATTAGCTATAAGCCACTGCCGTCATTAATTCTAATCCCTGACACTCTTTTTTCTTTCCTAAAATTGATGTTTGTACATGTTCTTTCTCTGTGGACAACTCTCGCCTTTTATATATATCATCTCAGTGACCCTTACACCTTGATTTTAGACTTTTAACCTCCAAACCTGTAAGAGGATAAATTTCTGTTGCTTTTAAGCCACCTAATTTGTGGTTATTTGTTAGGGTAGTCCTCGGAAACTAATATAGGGCTTTTATAATTAGGGAAAATTAAACTCATAGTACCTACAATGATTTCCCCCACCTTTCGAATCTAAACTGTGCCTATTCCCTATGGAATAATTTAAGTAAAAGGTATAATTAAACCCTATTTACTTAGAAAATCTGAAACTTTGAAAAATACAACTAAAGACATAAGCTTTGTTCTTCTAGAATTACAGGGGCTTTTTATTTACATAGCTTGCTCACAGACCTTACTTTAGATAACTATAATAGATTACCAAGAATAAAGCAACAAAAAGGCAAAGAACATCAACACTAAATCCAATAAACTTTCTACTAAATGTGTATATAACTTAAGATGGCAGTGAGTAAAAAGAACAGAAACTTCATTTTATCCACTCAGTGAAGGTTTCTGAAATCTTACTATTATTGTAACAAAGGACAATCGCTTACTTTAAACATTACTGCTCTACAGTTACTGGTAGGAAACTAAAATGTCTCATTTAGCCCCATATTACCTTACCAATATCCTTATACAAATATTTTTTGATTTTGTACTTTGTGAAATTCAAATTCCTTAGTGTTGTTGAACATAACCATTCACACAAATGATACACACATACGACAACTCAATCCTGTGTATCATTGAGAATCATATATGATATGGATATATATAGTATATGCATATTTTCACTTATGTTATTTACAGAACTAAACATTTACATTAACTTGCTCATATGATAGTAGGCAGATGCACATATAAAGTTAACTTTAAGAATGAACAGATTTAAAAAAAATAAAAGTATATATGGAACAAAAAGAACTTCTGAGAGCTATTTCTTTTTAGGTAAAGACAAAATTATGTCGATTCTTCAACAGCCTTTTAAAATAATCTAGCCTGAAAAAATTAAATTTTGTAATTGAAATAATTTACCACCATGATTCGAATTTAAAAATATATATTTAAAAAAAGAAAATATTTTAAAGAGTATAACCCGTCAGTGATTGCTTTAGAATAATCACAAAAAGGCATCAAAAGGAGGAACAGAGAGACAGGTCAATAGTCCCAAATAAATAAACTGCTGAGTTTATCAATCTGCTACTTCTTCCTAAAATCACTATATCCCTTTGAAGTTATTGAATATGAAAGGGGGTCTTCTGAAAATAGAAGGGGATCTCACATACTGAACATTTTGGTATACTTACAGGAGATTTATGAATATCTGCCTCTACAAATAAGTAGGAAATAAACCAGGAAGACATTGACATAAACATTAAATAATAAAAGTAATGGGTCAGAAGGCACATTCTGAAGATTACAACCCAGTAAATAAGAGAATGAAGGTTTACTATTAAAGTAAAATCCTCAAAAACTCTTATTTGAGGCTTAGAAAACTAGTATTTCAAATTACACATGTAAATCTTACGCAAAAACGAAAAAGTGCTTTTTTACAAGAACTTTTTATCAGCTCTGAAAGTTTTAAAAATTCAACAAGAGAAAATGAAATTTTTTTCCAATTCGAGTATTCTATGGAGCACCTCATTTTCTCCTGATTTTTCCTTTAAAAAAAGAAGAAAACAAACAAAAACTCAGTTGATGTTACTTTGTCAACTGAGTTCACTATAGATTCAGTTCACTATAGTTCACTGAGTTCACTATAGATTCAGTGCTATTTTCTTTATCCTGCTTTTCTTTTACATGTGGAGAATCTAGTTCATTTCTGCTAGTTTCTTCCTCACTGGAATCACTGTCCAATCCACCTTCAACCCTGGTAGACTTCAGGTCATGCGAAGAATTTTCACACACTTTGTCTGTGGGAACAGCTCCTTTCCTTTGGGGTAGGATAGTGAAAAATGCTTCTTGCCAGTCTCTTGTTTCCAGGTATTCCAGAATAATCTCAAACACTGAAACAAAGACAAACTGTATACATTTCTTAGCCAAGATGACACACTCTACACATTTCTTAGCCTAGTTTATCACAATGCTGCATACTATATTTTAAAATACATTGCTTTTATGTTAAGAATGCTAGCTAGTATATCCTAATAATTACTTTGTTCTTATCACTTTCTTCTCTTATTGGTTGTCAGAGCCAATTTGCCCCAAAACTCTCAAGCCTGTTACCTCCTCAGTTCAGTTCTTAAACATCCAGGAGTTTACCATTATCCTTGTCAATACTAATTGATAGACACAGGATCTTTTTGGTTCTTTTCTATTCTTTATCACCTTCACTTCTTTATCCTTTATGTGCTAAAACTTTAAACTAGAAAAAAAAGGTTAGGATTAATCTAAATTTTTTCTATCTTACCTATAAAGAGCCACTCATTCTGGGGAGCATCTTGGCCACTTTTCTTTTTCACATTAGAGGTAAAAATTTAGTTCTGTCTCTAAAGTACTCTCACATTAACACACTGCTGAGGGTCAATTTGGATTACTTTCTGGAAAAGTAATTTACACAATCTATCAAAGGTCTTAGAAGAAGTTCAGTACTTGAATCAGTAAATTCATTTCTATAATGCCCTAAATCCTACTGTGGAGAAAGTTAATACATAAAAAGAGCCCAAGAAACACTTGTATACCAACAAAAATCTCGACTACGTTTTTTTTCGAGAGGGGAAGGAGGGGTGAACAAAGGGAGAGAAACATCGATGTGAGAAGAGAAACATCGACTGGTTGCCTCTCGTAAGCGCCCTGACATGCCTGCAACCCAGGCATGTGCCCTGACCAGGAATCGACCTTTTTGCTTTGTGGTACACTGCCCAACCCACTGAGCTACACTGGTCAGGGCTCTACTAAAAAAAATGTTTAAAGCAAAGCTCCAGGCAACTACTTAGGGTTCAAGAATGCATATTACAATGTTACTTATAATAATAAAAACAAAAAAATCAACAGGATAATGAGTGCATTATTGTATATTCAGACAATAAAATATTACATAGTCATAAACAATAATTGAATGAGTGAAAATATATCATTATAAATGGAGGGGAAACACCCAGATTTGTAACAGTTTGTGTAACAGACTAAGAATCCAATTATATAATAATAATATATATACATAGGAAAAGAAATGGAAGGAACCACACCAAGAAGTTAAGACTAAGTATCTCTGGGTAGGGAAATTTTATCTTATTTATTTTTCCTTACAGTTTTCTGTATTTTCAAAATTTTTCTAAAATATGCATGTATTATTTCTATATTCAAATCATGTATCATTACATTTTATAGTTTTGTCTCCAGCAAGGTGTATTATTTTGTACATGTCCAAAACATAAACATAATGTTATTTTTCACAGTGTTCACAGGGTATATTTTCAGTTCATACCCTTATAGCTTACCATGATTAACTGCCAAAACTTTTCTACTATTCATCTTCACAAAATTTCCAAGGGGGAGCTGTGCATGGTCAATTCCATGATCTGATGCTTGTTTATATGTGAGTCCCTAAAACAAAGACACTATAACTTGGACTAGAACATTAAGTTATTTTAACTTAAAGCCTATGACAGAATCAATAATCTTTAGGAAAGACTTTAATTCAGAGAATATTATCTGAAGTATGTGTGTGTTTGTGTGTGTGTGTGTATATTTAACTGCTAATTTGGAAATATTCTCTTGACAATAAGATAGTTGGGATGTTTAGGGCACTTGTTTTAACCAATTTATAAGTGAGAAAACCGAAGACATGTTCCCTCCACTCTGTCACAAAGCCCCTCAGTGGCAAAACCATAGGAAAAACTTGGCCCGTGCCTCCTGACTCAAATACCTGTTCACTGTTCAACACTGCCTTTCTCTTAGTTTAAAATACTTAAACCAAATTCCTGGAGAAGCACCATCACTTTTCCCATGAATGCAAAAGATGTACAGATTAAACTACGTTTCAACTATATAACACTAAGAGGGAGAAATGACAAAAACATTCTATGTAAAGCTGAACTGAAAAAATTTTTAAATTGCCTATAAATTCAGTTTTTCCCTTTCTAGCAATTAAAAGATTACTGAATATGAAGAATTTTCTCTCTTTTCAAAATTAAAACTTTTAAAGCCTGGATCTAATCAGAATTGACATAGCAAAAAGACAGGGTAGAGGAGAAAGAAGAACTGAATTTCTCTGTCAGTAGTTTGTATACTTTAAGGACAAATAATAATGGTTGATGTGGATGCTTTTGAAAACAAAATTGTTTTAGTTCAAAGACACAGACAATATGAAAGATAAAATTTGGTTCTATATAAATAACAAAATAGAATTTTTCCAAGAAAATAATAAAAAAGCTAAAGATCATTCTGATAAAATTCCCTCTGATGCTATAGAGATTACTGTCCAATTATAGTCACTTGTGACTACTTAAATTAAATTGACTACAATTTTTAAAAATTCTGTTTCTCAATTATAATGTACACATTTCATGTGCTCATTAGCCACAAGGCTACCACAGTGGACAGAAGGATATAAACATTTCTAATACTGGAAAGAGTTCTACTGCACAGTGGTTCTATACAAGAATAATGAATTTACAGTATTCTGCTGTCAACACTTCCTCAGACACTTAGTATACATGTTTTTTCTTTAGTTGGGTTGAATTTAGCATATTGCAAAGTAGCTGATAAAGTACAAAATGATGTTTTCTGTTAGAAAGTCCATTTCTGTAATTTTTCATTCGAATGAGGATAAGGAGGTAGAAAGAGACAAAAGTAGAAATGTAAAAGAACAGAAAATATATCACATGAATACCACGTATTTAAAATATAAATTTATCAGTTTTGTTATAAATTTTACCAGTGGCCTAGAAACTGATTAGCAGCAGCATCTTGTATCCACACAGCAAATCGTTTAAGCAGAACAATGTGCCTGGTTTCAAACATCTGCTTTCCCACTTACAACTGATTTTAGACTCTCTGGGCCTTCAGTTCCTCAGCTATAAAATGGAGATAATAATAGCACTGACCTCACTGATTTATAGTGAGGATCAAGCATACTGATATACAGGTGAGGCAAAAGTAGATTTATAGTTGTGATTACGTGAAACACAGAGTGTATTCTCATATTATTATTTATTAATTATTGTATTATTTTCCATACAAACAACTGAACATCTAATTTTGCTCCACCTTATGTTAAGTGCTTTGCTTAGCCAGAAAGGTGATTACGTTATAGCAGGCACTAATTAGAGATCAGTTATCATCAGTATTATTGCTACTATCAAACAGCATCATTGTTATTACTGAGAAAACTGATATATCAATTTTAAGTACAAGCAAATGCAAAAATAAAGACTTAGTACCTTGTGATGGTTGTGATCTACTAATCCTCCAATCACATAAGCCTTTGATTCATCTAATTCCTTCAGTACATTAGGGGAATCTGATGTAAGATATATCAGGTCTTCTTTCTTCATAAATTCACTATAGTGCTCTGGTTTAATGTGGATATCCTTTAAGATGCAAGGGGAAAGATGTTATTAATTAATAGAATTTTGTGAAAATGGGCTAATAATCCTTTTGAGAGGGAGTGAGTCATATTAAAGGAAATATGAAAGAATGTTGTTACAATGCATTATTTATAACCCTCTACTTTAATGCCTTATCACCTCACACCTTAATTAATTAAGTGGGCTTCAAATGCCATTTCCCTGTCTCTCATCTTAGATACCTCCAATTTACTTCCATATGCTAATGATGGATTCACTTTCTAAAAAAAACACTAATTTCAATGTTTTATCTTTACCTGTAGGATAAAATTAAAACTCCTTAACTTGGTAACTCTTTCCTGAATATGGCACTAAACCTACTTTTCTAACTTTGTTCCAACAAAACAAACACATTCTGTCACATATCTGCTCACATGGTTTTCTAGCCAAAGAATGCCTTCTCTAGTTATTTCCTCTCCATCTACATGCATCATCAAAAGGAAATGGCTTATAGATTTAATAAATTCCATACATCTATTTCTATAGAGATACATATTTGAAATCATCTTCACCAAATTTTTTAGGTCACAAGTAAAAAACTTAACAGTGGGCAGTCAGACTTTAGCCAACTATACTGATAAAATAAAAGAAAATACATTATGAGGCTCAGATGAAATTTAACCAGTAATTTTTTAAAGATTTCATTTATTTAATTTTAGAGTGTGGGGAAGGGTGGGAGAAAGAGAGAGAGAGAAACATCAATGTGAGAGAGAAACAAATTGGTTGCTCCTGGTACATACCCTGACCAGGAACTGAACTCACTACCCAGGCATGAGCCCTGACTCAAAATCAAATGGGTAACTTTTTGCTTTGCAGGATATCACCCAACCAACTGAGCCACATTGGTCAGAACTTAACCAGTAACTGTTAAAGAAATAAAAAATGAAGTAGGACTTGTCTCACCTAAAACATATAACCTATTGATAAATAAACAGCCAGTTTTCTGGAAAAAAAAAAAGTCACATTATAATTTGGCCCCTATGCTTAATAAACGTCCCAAGAGGGAACTGAAATTAGAGACCAGTGAACTTACGTCTCTCTGGAAACCCGAGAGTATAAATAATAAATGTAATAAGCCACAAAATAACTGAAAGTATGCCCACTCAAACTTGTTACATTATTTTTTAGAAAATTAGGCACGATCATAAAACTTGGTAAATATGTTGTACTTTAAACCTTAAAAAGTGCCTTTAAAAATGTTCCGCACTCTAGGCTATTTATCAAAAATAACCGCAGGCATTATGAGATTTGTGTGCGTGGGAGGAAAAGTTTGTCATGGTCAGACCTGGCTTTGAGAAAGAGTTCGACATCAGCATGTGGACATGAGAACACAAATTTAGAAGAATCGATCCAAGTGCATTTTCAAATTTTAAAGGGACTTCACTCATAAATAATGCATAGCCAGTTTACTGGGTAGAGATTGAATAAAGACCTTTAAATTTGTTCCTTTTTAAAAAAATATGTTTTAAAGCTGAAGGCAAAATAGCAAGTGAGATTTAGTGAGAGCCAGTAGAGACAGACATTTCAGTCTCTTTAGCTTCTCTGATTAGTACCCTTCAGCTTAACTACAGTGATTCACAGGGCTCGGAAATTGCTGACTTTTCTATTTATTGACACTATGTAGAACTCAGGTAAAAAATGCAGACCTTTAAGCTTAAAAGTACTTGGAATTGTGTGAGAGTTAATCGACTGTAATTACCTTCCAGTTGACCCATCCTTTGTCATTTTCATCCATGTTCTTTTTCAACTGGCCTCCATGGCTCGTCAAGTAAAACTGATAGAGAGATTTGCAGGCATAGGATGAGAGAGCAAATGACGATTGAAGTACAATTTTTTATTCCCTCATACACTAATCTGATCAACAGAACAAAATATTTCATACTAGTAAAAAATAAATTTGTAGCATGCTTTGAACACACAAGAATAAATTTCTGGTAAAAATGACATGTATTTGTGTATTTTATAACCCGCTAACTTCCTTATTCCATCTATATTTTCATCCCATTTTTCAAGCATAATGTGCCTTTCCCTTAATGATCACTTTTCTATGAACTCTCTGCTTCCATGCCAAGTTTCTATTCCCTTTCTTTCGCCACAACTGCTATTTTTTAACAGTCCAAAGTCTTCAGAATTTTTGATTCTGAAACCTGACAACTATTTCAAGTCTAAGCAAGAGTGAGAAAAATATAAAATGCAAAAATATAAAATTATTATCACTTGATAAAAACAAAGTATCGAACCAAAAAAGAATTTCAGTTCTTAATGTCAGTGAGCCAGTGTTAATTACATCAACTAAAATTCAGACAGCAGGCAACTCTTAAGAGTAGGCAACTAGTCTCAAAGCACACCCTCACTCTAGCTAAGGAAGCACTTTTTAAAATTACCAGTAACTTGAAAACTTTTAAGTAGAATAAACCTACTAACAGCATAGCACACATCAGTTCCTCCTATTCCCCAGAAGAGAAAGAATGAGACCTAAGAAACTGGTATGAAAATATGTGTGTACCCTTTAACGAAGATGTTCAACTACACAGAAAGGAGCAGGTCAATGTGTACAAGATTGATGATGACTGGGCAGTGTGGCTGAGAATGACATGTGAAAAAAAATTTTTTTAATATATTTGATTGATTATGCCATTACAGTTCTATTTCCCCCTTCATTCCCCTCCACCCTGCACACCCCTCCCCCCATTCCCCCCGTTTAGTTTATGACCACGTGTCTCAAGTTCTTTAGATTCTATATTTCCCATACTATTCATGCCCTCCCCCCTATTTTCTACCTACCATCTATGCTACTTATTTTCTGTACCTTCTCCCCCTTCTCCTTCCACTCCCCTGTTGCTAACCCTCCATGTGATCTTCATTTGATGGTTTTGCTCCTGATCTGTCCTCTTAGTTTGTTTTTGTTTTAGGTGTGGATCTTAGTAACTGTGAGTTTGCTGTCCTTTCACTGTTCATCTTTTTTATCTTCTTTTTCTTAGGTAAGTCCCTTTAACATTTCATATAATAAGGGCTTGGTGATGATGAACTCCTTGAATTTGATCTTATCTGAGAAGCACTTTATCTGCCCTTCCATTCTAAATGAAAGCTTTGCTGGATAGATCAATCTTGGATGTAGGTCTTTGGATTTCATGACTTGGAATACTTCTTTCCAGCCCCTTCTTGCCTGTAAGGTCTCTTTTGAGAAATCCGCTCACAGTCTGATGGGAACTCCTTTGTAGTTGACTGTTCCCTTATCTCTTGCTGCTTCTAGGATTCTCTCATTTTAATCTTGGCTAATGTAATGATGATGTGCCTTGGTGTGTTCCTTCTTGGGTCCTACTTCTTTGGGACTCTCTGAGCTTCCTAGATTTTCTGGAAGTCTATTTCCTTTGCCAGATTGGGGAAATTCCCCTTTATTATTTGTTCAGATAAGTTTTCCACTCGTGACTGTTCCTCTTCCCCTTCTGGTACCCCTATAATTCGGATGTTGGAACGTTTAAAGATGTCCTGGAGATTCCTAAGCCTCTCCTCATTTTTTTAAATTCTTGTTTCTTCATCCTTTTCTGTTTGGTCATTTTTTTTCCTCTTTCTGGTCCACTCCTTTGATTTGAGTCCCAGTTTCCTTTCCATTACTATTGCTTTCCTGTGCATTTCCATTCATTTCAATTAGTTTAGTCTTCATATGGTCCTCTAATTTGTTACTATAATCAACCAGTTCTATGAGCATCCTGATCACCAGTGTTTTGAACTGTGCATCTGAAAGTTTGGCTATTTGTTCATCACTTAGATTTATTGGCTCTGGGGCTCTGAGTTGATCTTAAGCCATGTTTTGATCTGTTCGTGCCTGTTATGTATGAGGAGAGGGGCCTTGGTGTTTACCGTGGCGGGGCCACCCAGGTCCCAGGTTTGTGACGCTGTATGTGGGGGTGGGGCCAGAGAGGGACAATGGCGGTCCCCTCTGCCACTTTCTGCCACTGGGGCCTGCATGGTCTGTCTCACCGCTTTGCTCCTTTACTGGTTAATCTGCGCTCGACTGTGTGACTTTGGTCAGCCCTCAGTGAGTCCACTGCCTTGTGCCCTCAGTGGGTCCTCCCGCTACTCCACACCTGGGATCCGCCTACAGCTGCTAGCATTGGGTTGTGCGCCCGGGTCGTCCAGTGGATCTTTCCTGCCCAACCCCGCGCTGCTGCTGGCTCTTCCCCTCTCACTGGTTTGGCTTCAGGGTTCATTGTTGTCAGACTTCCGTGTAGTTCAATTTTCTGTGGTTTGGCTACATTTTTGTTGCTAAAACTTTGTTGTTTTAAAAGTTGGTTGTGTGAGAAGGCGCAGTGCTTCCACCTACGCCCCCATCTTGGCGGAAGTTCAAAAAAATGTTTAAAATACCTTACTTTATCTTTGTAGAAAAATAAAACATGGTTCAAATTAGGCATTTTGTTCTCTAAGGGATTATCTGTAAGACACTTGTAAAGCAGTGGGGATTATTCAGGCCTCTTCCCAAGGAAAATATAAGAAAGGAAACTGGAGTTTGTTTTAAAATCTTTCAAACATACCTGCACAGGATGCAGTGCTCGTCGATTTTCTGCATAACATCGCTGAATCTGCTTATGAAGTTTCTTAATGTCCTATAAAAGAGTACAAATTTTAAAGCAGCTTTTTCAAAATCATCTATGGCCACTCCTCAATCTTAGTGAAATAGAGTAAGCATAAAGGATGACTAGACAGGTACATTTTTTCCTTTTGAAATACAAGTTCTTTCTGATAATTTCCATTCAATTTCCTTATATAACTAACAAAAAAATCACTATAAGTCAATATTCTAAAAGTAACCCATTATTTCATATTTTGTATCCACTTAAAATGCTAGTACATGAAAAATAAGAGTCAGCCAAAGGAAAAAGAGTCTTAGAGCCATAGTATTACTATGTTCATAACTTACCAATGGATTGGAAAGTAATTAAAGCATGTTCTCTTCACTAGCATTATTTAAACAGCCAGATTTCTCAGGCTGTTAAATAAGAAATAATTCCATTAAGACCATCATATTTCTTATTTTCTTAATTTTGATCAGGGCAAATAAATACAGATCTTTAAGATTAATATGCAGTTATTGAGTTTTGTAATCTACCCATGGTATTTGTCTCTCCCACCATCAACACATATACATATATACATACATAAAAGGAATGTATTAGCTAGTTTAACTTACGGGGCAGAGTATGAAAAACTTGATTTAAGATTCATTTCAGCACCCAAATTTATATCAAAGTGATATTACATAGTAAAGAATCATTTACCACAGTTTACCTACATGATTTTTCTGACAATGGTTCATACCTTTAATATCATCAAGCTGTCAAAACTACAGTCAATGATAAGACGAAGTGTGCTGTGAACAACAGCTCTTCGAACACGTTTTCTATCATTTCCATCTGAGCTTGATTCCAGTTGACACTGTCGCTCTAACTGTTTTCTCTTGCGTTTTTCCTTCCGCTTTTGTCTAAAGTTAGTAATTGAAATAACTTTTTGTTATTTATATATTCAGATATTTACAAGACTATTCTATATAGACAAAGACAGGATTACTTTTTTAAATCAGCAGGCTGAACCATATGATATTGTCACTTCTGTGGATCAAAATTGGTCAAATATCAATTTTACATGTACATCTAAGTTTTGGAAAGGAAGAAAATTAGTTTTCAAAAACAATGTAATGCTTTTTACACAAATCCTAAGAACTAATAAATTCATTTATTATTGGTATTATACTCTACTAAGAAAACTTTATAAATATTAATACTTAATTTGAGAGTTTTGGTAAATTTTACTGTTGTAATTCTTCCCCTACATGATTTTCAAGCAATATCTATATGATGAAGGAAAAAAGCAAAGTAAAATTATCAGTAGAAAAAAAAATTTCACATACTTTTTCTCTAATCTGCATCAACTAGTTTATTTTCTCTCAGTAAATTTTGGCATTCTAGGTACAATAACAGTTTCAGCCTAACTGTTCTCAACAATACCTGTAATAGTTCTTCTAGCAAAATCAATGGTAGGCCCAAATTTGATCTTTCTGAGGTGGTTATTTTTGTTCCATATCTAGGACATGGATGCTAATTATATCCCTTTCCTAAGTCAGTTATTTCAGAAACTGTGCTGCTACACAATAGGTCTGGGGTGAGAAAAAGTATGTAATGTAAATTCATAAGCAGTGCTAAAAACACAATTCAAAACATACAGCTTTAACAGCCAACTGACAGTGTTAGCTAACAATATGCATAGCCCCAATTTTAATTAACACAATTACTTTTAATGTGTAAAAGGACTGTGACAAGTCCAACATTCTGTATTTCTGAATGGGGAAGAATATATGCATTTTGAAACATACTTGCGGAGTTCTCGTTGCTCTTCCCATTGTTTCTGTTTCATTAGCTTCTTCATTTGTCGTTTAGATATTGGTTCAAACTCTTCACCAAATCTTGGCTTCTGGCTCTCCTCTTGATCTTCACTTAAATCTTGCTTTCTTTCAACATTAGAGGTCTCAATAAATGCTGGCATCATTTCAGATGACATTATTTGATACCTCTGAAAAATTCAAAAGCAACTTTTGACATACAGAGATATAATTTACACTAAAAAGGAAAAGCCAAATGGCCAACAGATGTGATTAAAATTAAACCATATCAGAAATGAGTAAAAATGGAATTTGGACAATATATGTCATTTACTGGCAAATACCTTGTGATAAAATGGGGTGCTTTCATATGCTATTGGTGGCAAAATTTTTTCCAGCAGGCTACATATCTGTATGTTTCAAGAGCTTTAAAATGTTGATACTCTCAAATCAGTAATTTACTTCCTCAGAATAAATTCTTGTTAATGAATCAGAAATATACACAAAATTAATACAAATGGTTATGCAGTAATCCCCCCTTATCTGCAGTGAATACATTCTAAGATTCCCCAGTGGATGTCCAAAAAGGTGGATAGTACTAAACCCTACATGTATTGTTTTTTCCTATACATGCATACATAATAAAGTTGAGTTTACAAATTAGGCACAGAGATAAAAAATAACTAATAAAAATAGAATTATCCCCACATACTTTAATAAAAGTTATGTGAATGTGGTCTCTCTCATAACTGAGATGGCTAAGTGACTAACGTTGGGCAGAGTATACAGCATGTATATGCTGGACAAAGGGATGACTCACATCCCGGGTGAGATGAAGCAGGATGGCCTTAGATTTCATCATGCTACTCAAAGTGTGCAATTTAACACTTATGAATAGTTTAATTCTGGAATTGTCCATTTACCATTTTTAGACTGTGGTTGATGTTGCATCCACCAACGCGAGAGACAAATTGTCAGAAACTTTCGGATTCAGAAATGTTATTTTATTGGCCAAAGTTTTAACCTGCGCAGGGGCGGACCCTCAGAGTGTCCAGAGACACAGTGCTCATAAGAGCTGCAAACGAGAGCCACCCTAAGCACTTACAGCTAAGTCTTTTTATAGACGCGAGCAAGCAAGCATTGTATAGAAGCAAATGTGGCTGTTAGCTATTGGCTACTTGGGTGGCGCGAGCATGACCTAAGCTTTCTGGGTTTTGGGTAATGGAAAAATTTTAACCTAGACACTTGAACAGGTGGTCCTCTACTTGTTCAGCCCCATTGGTTTTGTAGTTCCACCTTCTCCACTCCCTATGTTCTTTCTTAACTTCCTTGTGGTTTCTGCTCTAAGTTCCTTGTTCCTCCAGGCCAAATTTCTTTAAGGCAGTCCCTATTTTATTCCCTATTTTTCTGGTTTCAACAGTTGACAGCCAGTAACTGAAACCATGGAAATCAAAAGAGTGGGCTGGATGGAAGTAGAATCATTTTGTGTTCTGTAGTGTTATTTTTAACAATGAAAAATTTGGAAACTAGTTGAAATGACCTCTACTGTTGAAAGTAAAAGGGATTAAATAAATTACAGTTTACTGATGATAGCAGCTGGGAATACCAAGCAGCCAGTAAAATTATGTTTTCCAAAATTATTTAGTGACAAAAATGGTGATACTAAATAAGAAAATCAAGACAAAAATATACATTATATCCAATTCTGTTTTTAAAAGCACAAACATTTAATTTATACCCATGGTATGCTGCATTTTCTAAATTTTACAGAATAAAAACATATTGTTTTATAATATAAAAATATTATTTTTTAAAAGAAGAAAAGCACTTTTTGAAGTCACCTTTAATGTTATAATATGAGAACAATGTTACTTTCATTATTATCTGGGAATACAGTCACAATTGGTTTTGACAAAAGATATGCTACAGATATGCATATTTGGGATAGTGCGAAAAACAAATCTGCCCCCTTCCATATATTTCCTTGTAAATACATAACTGTACATTTTCCACTTTAGTCATGGTAAAAAAAAACAAAAACTTACGTTGAATCTGTAACCAGTTGTGGAATGCTTAGGGCCATCACAAACATCTTTATTTGCATTTAACTACAGACACCTTTATATCTGTTGCCTAGAACTGAATTTCCCCTCAGATTACAAAAAAGAACTAGAAATACTGAGATTTCTCTTTAACAAATTATTAACACCAAAGCTTAAAAATATTATTTGTTATTTATCCATACCAAAGGCTAAATATATAAATGTTCAACTGGTTTTAAAGAAAATTGTATGATTCCTCCTTTTCACAGAAATAGCTAAGATGAACAGAGAAGCTAACATCTAAAAGAAAAATCACAATTCAGAAATGGAAAGACAAAATATTTGCAGAACATCATTTAAGCAGTAGTGTTATTACATGGTTCTTGCTTTCTTTAAAAGTGCAATGTTGTAACAGGACATACAGGGATAACTAAGCAAACTTGGAAAGTTGACCAAATTTTGACTGAGGGACAAGAAATTTTAAGATGTGCTTTGGGAGCTACAGCAAAAACCCTGGCATGAACTAGGTCACAAAATTACTAAGAAGGAGAAAGAGTCATCTAGTAATACAAGTAAGAGTTCACAAGTTTTCCTTAAACCACTAATCAGAGTATCCTTAGGTTAAAGGAACACCTGCTAGAACCGACAACTCAAATTCAGTTCTACACTGAAAACTTCATATGGGCAGGGATGACATCTGCTTTTGCCCAACATTATAGTTGGGGGCAAAAAAACTAACAGGGGGCCTAGCACTTTCTTGATTATATATTGGTGAAATAAATGAGTGAATATATTACAAAGGATTTTTTAAATAATAGCAGATATTAATTCTTAACATGCTTAACAAAAAAAAGTTATCTAATTTAATCCTTAAAACAACACTATGAGGTTGTCAGTATCATGCTTACTTTACAAAGGAAAAAGGCACAGTGAGGTTAATTACGAATTACAAAGCTACTAAATAATTCCTAAGAAACAAGGCACCTAGAACAAATTTAGCACAAAGTGGGTCCACAAAATATTGTACTTGTTGGATGAATAGATGAATGAAGTAATGGAGTTATGATTCAAACCCAGATTTAACTCTCCTTCCCAGATATCCAAGACCTTATTCAGAAAATAAAGGTTCCAAGGAATGTAAAAGAGCTATGATGCTTTAGCCCTGCTGTTGGAAAGCTCTCAGATTTGTGTCACTGAAAGATGACAAAAATAAAGTTTGTTTAATTCATATGCCACTAAATAAAAAAAATTGGGACAGGCTTCCTGAGAAGTTTTAAGGCACCCTGCCTCCCAATCTTGAAAGACATGACAATAGTAGATAAAAGATAAAAAGGAAAAAACAAAAAAGATACAGCCTCTCTCAAAAACAAAAGCAAGAACTAGAATAGACATTGTCCCTGCTGGGTATGCTATGCAAAGGCAACTGGGAGTTTCTCTAGCTTTAAAGCAGGAAGAATAGTAGTTAACACCAGACAGAAGGTGGGAGATGGGAGACAGTTTCCGTTGAACCCTTAACCTAGTGTTGGGGGTGGGGCTCCTTTATGAAAAAAGCCTGCCCTGGCTGGCATAGCTCAGTGGATTAAGCATGGGCCTGCAATTTGGAGGGTCGCTGCTTCAATTCCCAGTCTAGGGCACATGCCTAGGTTGCAGGCCAGGTCCCCAGTGGGGGACACGTGAGAGGCAACCACACATTGATGTTTCTCCCCCTCCTTTCCCCTCTAAATAAATAAATAAATAAATAAACAAATAAACAAATAAATAAAATTTTAAAAGAAAAGAAAAAAGTCTAAAAAGAGGTAAAATTAGACTGGCTTATACTAAGCTGAGTACTTGGGGGAAACCTGAAGGTAGGAGACACAGCCTCTCAGTCCCAACCTGGGCCAACCTGCTGAGGTGACATAGGAACTTCTAACACTACATGATTAGATGTAGTGTTAGATGAATCTGAATCACCTATCTAAACTCTTACTGTGGACTGAAGCAATGAACCGAGCTGTGAGCAGCAACCACAAAATCAGTGTGAGACATGATTTGCAGGGCAGAAATGATAATTCCATTTAAGATGAGTCTACAAGGCAAAATTACTAAAAGGAAAGGTTAAAAAAACCAACAAAATCAACAATCAGGAGATAAATTCGCTCCATATAAACTGGAAACAGAATGACATGAAAATGACTTTAAAATTAGCTGCAATCTTTTGAAGACCATTAGAAGAATTCTCTTTTAAAAAGTAGGAAATAGGGACACAAAAGCAGGCATAACAAAAGCAAAATAAGGATGAATTCAAGAAAAAGAACCCATTTGGAAACCAGGAAATTAAGACAAAAATTTCAATATATTAGACAAACTCCAGATTACCTGGAGTCCAAGAGGTAATTGATGGATTAGAAGATATGCTGGCAATCTCAGAATTCAGACAGAAATCGAATGAAAAATAATGTCAGAGCAGTTAAAAGAGCTGAATTACAGAATGAAATACAGACAAAATGGTAGAGATAAAAGTATAACCTTGAATGTATTCACTAGTAATTTTTATAAAGATTGGAAGATAAACATTCAACTTAAGAACTTAGAAAACAGAGGAAACTCAGTATGCCTGAAATGATTAAAAGAAAAATTTTAAGTAATTAACCATGACTCCCCCAGGATCACTTTTATTTTACTTCCTTTCCAGAGACAGTAAATTAAAGTTAGTAATGCATGTATCCAAAACAACGTGGAGAAAACATAAGCTAAACCTGCCCATTAAACTAAACATGTAAATCTTACACAATTAAAATTTACAGGAAATATTATGAGAGACTATTTCCATTATCATTGGCAATTTCTGCTAGTTCTCTATTATGTTCAAAAATTGCAAGCGTTAATTGGCTCTATGATATGAAAGTTACAAAAAGCAATGTATATCAGAATTTTACAGCTCACATACACCAGGGGGAGCTTTCGCCTTTCCTACCTAAGAACTCTTAAAAACCCTGTCAAGTACATAACTAGATCATAAGCTAGTCAACATGGTTATCCTTATTTTTAAAGCTCTACCCAATTAAGAAAATGCGCTATAGTAAGTGAATTTTTTGAAGCTTTGAGTAAGCTAGATATCTTGAGGCATGGAATACAAATAATGTTGGCTTGAACTGCTTACAGCACTTTTCACATACAAGGATATGTAATGTACCATCTCCCACTGCGTATGCCACGCAATAAGCAGTTCACTATGCAGAAGCTTGTCCCGATTACAAGTTAAGCAAAATATGTATGATGTTTACTTGGTATATTTGCTTTCTTATTTTAGTTTTGGCCAGTTTATAAGCTCTATGGCACAGAGTTCTGCGTTCTTCCCTCACATGCAGTGACGCTCTCACAGTACATTTTCAGTCATTTAACCACATTCCACAAATATTTAAGAACCGTCTTTTGTAGCAACTATAATTTGTGCGAAATTTTGTTCAGCACAGAATTTTTTAAATGGTTCATTTAGTCCCAGAAATAAGTTGTCAGGTGGTCTTATAAAACTAAGAACTGGATAAATATGACTAAGGCCATTTGGTGTGGGATGAACACACAAAAAAAGGATTTCAATATTCCTTGTATTTCCACTTCTTAGCAGATTTAAGCAGGAAAAACAGACACCGAAAATCAGCGAATGGCCAAAGTTAAAACAAAAAACTTTTTGACTGGGCTAACATATTCTTCATAAATTATGACAAAGACTCTCAGAAAAATTCACACGAATTTTGATATAGCTGCAGAACGAATTAAATGATCTGACAGGGACGGGGAAAGAACACATTTTTTAAAATGCGTCCGCCAAACCTACAGTAGTAGCAACTGAGCTTGGTTCAGCTGCCAGGCCTCTTGGGCAGAAGGTTGGGCTGGGATAAGGAGAGGGGGAGGATTTAAAAAATAAAAAGTGAGAAAATCATCTGTTGCTATCCTCTTTCTATCTCTACAAATATGGCCCGACTTTAACACTTAATATTTATTGCCGTGGAATCAGAGTAACAATTCAGTCTTCTTAAAATCGTCCTGAGCTCCCCACGATAGGGCTAAAAGCACCAGCAGCACCTCTCCCCTTCGTTCGCCACATTTCCCGGCGCTCTCAGCAACGTCAGCCCCTCAATGGAGAGATGAAAGAGATTTAAAGAGGTAAAGCGACTTGCCCACGGTCTCTAGCCAGGAAGTGGCAAAACCGTAACTCGTTTCCCGGCCCCCCAGACTCCACATTTCCCTCTCCCTTCGTTCTCTGGAAACTCACTCTTCACAAACTAGGGACTGGATCTCGACCCCGAAAGAGATATCGACAGCTGGCACCCCACATGAGTGGACAGAGCCCGGACCCACTCTGCCCTCTAGGCTAGTAGCTGCAAACGCTCTGCAGAGGCGGGATTAAACTGAAGCTAGCCAATCGGGGAGTTTCTTGGTAGGCCAAGAGGTCGCACTCTATTGACGCCACTTCCTCCGGCTACCGGGTCGCCGCTGCCACTTCCACTGCTTCACTATCCTCTTCCCCGGAAGCTGTTACAGCTTGTTGATGGTGGCACAGGCTGAGCGTCCCTTTTGTGGTCAGAGAACATCAAAGGGTAGGCGAGAGCCATCCTCAGTTCTAGAAGACTTACTAAGCCGAAGAGTTGTCCGGAAACGCGAAGGAAGTCTTTCTGCAATGGTCTTGATGCCCTTCACGAGTCCTCCCTCGGAAACTTCAACCCCCAGAGGCACGGAAGTAGGCATCAGGCGGTTACGTCTACGTCACGATACTGCGCCAACTCCAGACCCGCTGCGGGAATAAGGGGAGGGAGTTCGTGTGGGGGGGAGTCAGCAGTCCGTGGGGTTTTTGGTGTGGGAGGTGGTTACAGCGACGTAAATTTGTCCTCTTGGAAGCACCAGTGTACTTGTGGACAGTGCACCTAATTCATTCAGGGTTCCTGGGAGGGTATTGGGTCGGAAGGAGACTTAAGACATTCCTACTCTTAGCAATTAAAAATACTAAAACAGTGACGAAAGGTTGTTAGAGATGAGAGCAAAGCATCTCTTGCCTAAACTATAATATATACAGAAGAAGGTTGTCAGTATGAAGTGATTTTACACAATTCAAACGGAAAATCCCATTTTAAAAGTGAGTCAAATTTCCATAAGGTGCAATTAAGTTAGCATGTTTAAGCTGGCAGTTGGAAATCTTACTCTCCATTCCTTATTTTTCCTATTCTGTTTTGCAAAACATCTGGTGTCATTTCATTGTTTATAATATTTGATTCTGTATAATCTTGCTATATATAGACCCAACTCAACAGAAAACTGAAAAAATCCCGTAGATTGTCGTTTTGTGTTTAGTTTTCCTTTTTTTAAAAAAAAACTTGGTCTTACTTTCAACAAGTGATTATTGTAAAATGTCAAGATAAAGTTCGAATCGAGAAGAAGACTGCTGTCAGTAGGGAAACAATTCTGAAGTAAATTATTCTTGATATTTGAAAATATTTGAACATGTTTAAAGGTTTCAGTGAATAAAAATAAAATTCAGAATTTGAATTTTCCAAAAGAATTGAAATTTATCTATTGAATAAATTGAATCACAAAAATGAAGTTACTCTTGCTTGAAACCTCAAATATTTCTTGAAAAATTGTCCACTGAACACTGCTGTGAGTCACTCTCTGTTTTCTTCATCTCAAATATAAAAGATCTCTTAATTGGCTCCATTTCTGATTTGTTAGTAGGGCATCTTTTTTCAGCTGCCTCCATATCCAGGCAGGGAGTAGCTGAGGGAGGATTAGTAACTGGATATGTAGCCCTTCACATGTAGGTCATTACACTCAGGCTGACAGTGATGTGCTGAATCTCTTTTAACAGCTGTTCAGTTTTTCTTCAGGGGTCTGTTTTATGAGTCATTATATATTTTTTTCAGAATTAATACATTATATATTTTTTCAGAATTAAACTGGGGTTCTTAGATATTTAAGTCATTTTTAAAACTCATATTTAGTAGCGGAGTCAAGAATTTTCTTTTGACAGCTGCTTAACTTTATAGTCATGGTGCAAAATTTGAAATGGTTCTAGTATCAGTCCAAAACAAACACTAAAAAGTGCCAGCAAAAAAAAAAAAAAAGGCCCTGTCTGGTGTAGGGTGGCTGGTTTAATTCTCAGTCAGGGCTCTTGCCTGGGTTGCAGGCTAGTTCCCAGCAGTGGACACAGGAGAGGCAACCATACATTGATATTTCTCTTCCTCTCCTTCCCTTCCTTTCCAAAGGTAAATAAATAAAAATGTAAATATACATATATATATATATATAAAAGAAATGTTTTAAAAAAGAATTTTTCCAAAGTTCTAAACATATAAAAGGTATAGGAAGGTAAAATCATGATACGAAATAACCTTATTTTCATTGATTTGTAAAATTCATCTTTTTGACACATTTATTGAGTTCCATATATTTTTGAACTTAATATTCTTGATACAAAGGTAATCATTAATATCCTTAAGGAATATCCAGTCTAGTGCTAGAACCAGCAACACAAAAATACCATATAACATAATGTACTTGAGATGCTTGTACATGGAAAGGAGCAACTGACTGCTCATGGATGCAGGAACCAGTTTCAGAAGTTTATAAGTTTTCTCCATCTTGGGAAGTAAGTAGGGGTCTTCCAGATATGAAAGGTATTTAAAATATTGGGAACAGTGAAAGTAAAAATGTCATAGTTTGGCACATGACTGAAAAGTTTTGGGTAGGATGAGGAAGAGGAAAGAAAAGCCCAATGTTTTTACAATTTGGACAACTATAGGAATGTGATTTTTTTTTACCTGGGTCATTTATAGAATAGTGGAAGAAAAATGGGTTTGGAAAAATATTTTTTTGAATATGTAGGTTCTGGGGAGTCTGCAGAACATCTAAGTAGAAACATTTAGAAATCACATATTTGGTAATTTAAGCCAACATATGAGATTGAAAGAGATGTTAGTCCATGGTTGCAAACTTAAAATGTTTCTGAGGACTGGAAGTTAACAAAAGGGAAAAGCTATCTGGGAGAACAGTGTCACAAACGTGAGAACACATTCTCTATTTAATCGGAGTTCAAGTTCCAAATAGGAGTGTGAGCCTACTTATGTCAGACCTCAATTTTTAAATAGCAGCCAGAAATAAATTTTTATGTGAAACTTGGTTTATAAGTGTCAAAAATTTTTTTAAATACTGAGTAGGCTAAATAAAACATGTCTGTGAATCACGTTCAGACACTTAGCAGCCAGTGTTTCAAACTGGACTAGGCTGTAGTGTGAGAAGGGGACTACAGATAGAACTAGAATTTTAGATCACAAAAACATTAATAATACTGGTTTTTGGAGGAGTTATGATCTCCTCCAAATGTTTGGCCTGATTTTAAGTCTAACTCTAATAGTTAAGTGTGAGAATACTGTGCAGCAAGTTGGAATGGGTAGTTATGGGCATAGAACAACATAGTCAGTTCAGAGGACTGTGCAGGGACTGTACAGTCAGTACCCATGGGTTCTGCAGTCTCAGATTTGGCCGAGGGTCATTGCTGATGTGTACTACACATTGCTGATGTGGTACACATGATGTGTACCATATTTGCCTGAGGGTGGGGCAAAAGTAGGTTTATAGTAGTTAAAGTGTGAAGCAATTTATTCTTGTATTGTTATTTATTAATTGCATTATTTCTCATATAAGCAACTATAAAGCTACTTATGTTTTATCCTGTATGTAGTTACGCCTACAATGGTTGTTCTGTGCTGAACATGTACAGACTCTTTTCTTGTAATTATTCCCTAACAATACAGTATAACAACTATTTACATAGTGTTTGTATTGCAGTAGGTATTTTAAAGTAATCTAGCGATGATTCAAAGTATATGGGAGGATATGCATAGGTTATATATAAACACTACCTCATTTGTATAAGGGACTTGAGTACTCTTCAATTTTGGTATCTGTGGGGCATCCTGGAACTAATCTCATGTGGATACCAAGGGACAATTGTACATTAATTTCCAGCTAGGTAAACCAAATATCAACTAATATTTGGCTTGAAAGGTATTTAAAAGCAGAATCAACCTATCATTTATAATAATTTCAACTTGCAATTTTATTGACTTCAAAAATAAAAGTTTAAAAATTTTTAAATTCTTTATTTACCCCCCTCCCAAGTAATATGAATGTTGAAGAATAGAAAGGTGACTATGGAGTCAGTATAATCTGACTCTTCTCATAAAAATAAGTAGAGCATCTAGGTTAGAAAAACATTAGTGACAATATGCTCATACCATAGCCATAACATAGTAATGTGAAAAAGAATTCTTCTAAAGTTCAAAATATGAGTGGATGGGAACAAACCACCAAGTATAAACAGCTGTGTAGGAGGAAATAGTGGGATGACAACATAGCATCTGAAGGCCATGAGAACACCTGCCAAGAGCTAGTCATTGAAAAGCAAGGGAGATACAGTCTTGACTTCTGGCCAAGATGGAGGAATAGGTGGAAATACTGCGCCTCCTCGCACAACCAAAATTAAACACAACAAAGATTTGGAAAGAAAAATACAACCAGCACAGACAGAAAATTGAACTGCATGGAAGTACAACAACCATTCATCCAGACCAGTAAGAGGGGCAGAGTCAGCTGCTAGCAGAGAGGGGTCATGGCAGGAAAAGGCAGACCCCAGGCATGGGGGAGAAACAAGCAGACCCAGTGAGGAACGCAAGGTGGTTGGTTGGCTGACCACCATCACACATTTGTGCACAGATAAACCAGGCAAAAAAAATGGACAGTGAGACAGGTCGTGAAACCCAGGGCCCCAGCGATGAGAAATAAAGCCTGAAGGCACCATTGGAAAAAATTTTGGGGTGTTGACGTGCCAGGAGAGACTCCCAGACTTACAGGAGAGTTTGTTGGAAAGACCCACAGGGTCCTAGAATGTACACAAGCCCACCCACCCGGGAACCAGCATCAGAAGGGCCCGATTTGCTTGTGGGAGGTGGCAGAAGGGAGCGAAATCCAAGACAAAGCAGAACAAGCACCATTGTTCCCTCTCTGACCCTGTCTCCACATACAGTGTCACAACCCAGCCACTGGGTTGCCCTGCCCTGGTGAACACCTAAGGCTCTGCCACTCACATAACAGGTACTACCTGACCAAAAATTTATGGCTCAAACAGAAGAACAAATCAAAGCCCCAAGGCCAATACTTCTAGGCGACCAAGAGATAGCCAACCTATCAGATACACAGTTCAAAACACTGGTGATCAGGATGCTCACAGAACTGGTTGATTTTGGTCACAAGTTAGATGAAAAAATGAAGGCTACACTAAGTGAAATGAAGGAAAATGCACAGGGAACCAGTAGTGATGGGAAGAAAACTGAAACTAAAATCCACGGAGTGAACCAGAAGGAAGACAGAAAGAACTAAACAGAAAAGAATGAAGAGAGACTTCTGGCCAAGATGAAGGCATAGGTGAAAATACTGTGCTTCCTCACACAACCAAATTTAAGGACAACAAAGATTTAGAAACAAAAACACAACCAAACACACAGAAAAGTAAACTGTACCAAAGCTCCGACAACAAGGAACCATTCATCCAGACCCGTAAGAAGCGCAGAGTTGGCGGTGGTGGAGAGGGGTCCCGGCAGGAGGAGGCAGTAATTGGTTACCCAGGTGGGCACAGATAGAAACCCAGTAAGACTTGCAAGGAGGCTGGCTGGCTGACCACCATCACACATCTGTGCACAGATAA